GGATACCCGAAGATACCAGTGACAAAGAGATTATCAAAGTAGGAATTTCTCCAGCACCGCCACACTTATTTCTCTGCTCTGTACAGAAAATTGTACTATAATAATTTGTGGTTTTTGTCTCATAAGCTTCGGAGTGTAAGATTGTGAAAGGGGTTCATGAGGAGGAGGATTAAAAGAAAATTGGCTCCATCTGTCGGAGCCCCGTCCGAGTCCAAGAATTGTGCTCGTAACCCTGCACCCTTGAACGAATTATCTCACATTATTTTTCTTCTACCCAATAGTTATTTTAGCTAATAGCAATAATTTTTTATTGTTTATTTTGTGGTAAAAGAATCCCTATAACACAACCCCCTAAAAGGTTTTGTAGTAACCGATGAGGCAGCATGCCTTCGATGATCCTCTTACATGCAGAACATATCAACGCGAATTGTTTTTGGAGTACAATGTACGCGACCATTTTAGGTGGAGAAACAGCTAGAAAGTCTCCTGAGATCAACTGATCCGTCGGTGGTTCTTATCGACAACATTCCTCGCCATCGTATCGCATTCGTGTCATCAGTCTTCTCATCCGTGGATCTTAGTCATGACGGTTTGTTTTTTTGCGTTTTCTTCTCACAAATGGTAATTATTGTATTATTTGACGGATACGAAAGAAAATTCGTGCATGAATAGGCAAGTATGCGGTCAATTTTGTCCGACAGAATTAGTGATGCTCGAGTGGCTCTTAAAGGAGAGATTTTATGTTAACATCACTTTTGACAGCTGAAACTCTTGCAAACCCAGATTCTTGAATTTTTCTCGACCATCGAATTGTTTTCTGTTTGAGACTATGTACTTGTGATTTTGGGTCGCTCCAAATATCGGTTATTTGCCAAAAGCTCTTGAGATAGTCTTGGACTTAAGTGTGAAAGACGTGTTTCTCATGATTATATGCTTTACAATAGAGAAGATAGTTTGAAGACTGTGAGTTCGCCCATTAACCAAAGAATTCAGGCTCAGGTTATATCCGAGGTTTAGCATGCACTGGTAGAGGGAGCCCGTGTAAGTCAGGTATTATTGGGACTTTTGAGGCACTTGGATACACGCTTTGAATTCTTCCACAGTTTCATTTCCACTCTTTTTTTTTACTAAACTTCATAATCACCGCTATAATCCATAGCATTTGTCCAACGAGGAAGCAACGTAGCAGATATCTTCCCAAAAAGAGGTATACTTGGATTCACAGAAGATATCCAACATGTTCGATTTCGCCAGAACCGACGATCTTCTTCTTAGTCAGGAACTGCTGGAAGTGCCTAAAAAGGTGATGCCTATAGGGAACATGCTCTTCAAGTCTTCGGAGCAGCACAGGAAAACCTCTGCTGGGTGCTTTACTTGTTTAGGTCGTAAGAGCGGATCTCCTCCTTTCAGGCGACCCCTTGCGACCATTTTGTCGTGAGCATGGAGGATTCAGTTCTCATCTTCCTTAACGAGATTATGCAGAAATACCTTCCCGATTAGAGCTGAGAAGGAGCAACTGTCTCATCGAGACACTCCTATGAGGATATCCTCGGTCAGTTGGTGCGGAATCATCGAGCAAGAGCGTTCCTTTAAGGGTGCTCACGAAGATGTTGAAGACATCGTGATAGCACTCAAAGTGCTCCGTCAATCTCCTACTCGTGGCTTCCGGTCTCCTTTCACTTCACTAGAATTCAGCCTTCATCGATTAAAGTCGTTCGGACGAGGATCATCGCTGAGCGTAGGGAGGCGACGCTCAATCTTTTATACCTACTTGAATTTTTATTGGCTTATGGACATCTTTGGCCTCGCATTCTTCAAGATTCTGAGGCCCATATAGTCGTGAAACTTCACTTTTGAGTTGGATCTTAGAAAGGGGCGAAAACAGATGTTTTGTGATGTCTTTAGACTTTCTGCAACCTACTTTGGCCATTCACTTTGAGGGTTTTTAAAATCGGGTTTGCTGATGGGGTCTCATAAGATGACATTGCTCAATTCTGCAACTTTTTCCCAGACAACCGAGCAGAGCTCGTGTTCAATGCACTACTTTTTCTTTCATAAGCTATCAATTTTTGATGACCGATGAGGTAACGATCTACCAAGTCTTCTGAAAAGTAGCAATTGTTGTTGTGTATATATTTATCTATACATTCGAAAAGCTTTCGCTTAGAATCATACCTCATTCTATTGTTGTGTTCACGAAGAAAAACCAATTCAGGAAGTTCTTTGGAAAAACACACATCCCAATGTTTTTGAAACAAAAGCTCCTTGTTTTACTCGTGCTCTAGGCCGGGCTTCCCATATGGCCAAGCTGGAACTGTATATATCACATTATATTTTCGAACATATAACAGAGTAACGTTTCCTGTTCAAGTTGTTTTCTGTCACACTCAGTGGGTATTCTAGCTTCTTCGCTAGGGCAATTAGGAAATCGGACGTCTTGAGAACGTTTCCTCCGTGAGCGTGGTGTCCATTCCCCGCCCTTATCCCGATGAGTTGTCAACGCATTCCCATTTTCCGAGTGGGTGCATTTATCGACTGACTCGGAAAGCAAAACCCTTGCTTATATTCGTGAAGTTTCGTGCGAAGTTATAAAGTATTCGCTCCGCTTTACTCAACCAGAAACATTGTGCTTAAGATATCTCTAATGTCCTCCACTTCCAAGAACCCTAAGTTGGGAAATCGCTTTAATACCATTTCTGGTGAACTAGTTCTTATACCAGCCAAGCTTGAAAAACCTTCCAGAAACCTCCAAACCAAACCAGTGTACTTCTTCTCTATGTTCCTCTTATTTCTTAAATTATGCCAGCAATATTTTGGTCGCAAACCAGATCTTTTTCTACGTCCGCCCACCTCGTCTACTTACCTACCTGCACCGCTCGTCGTTCAAAATACATCTGGGCTAATTACATCCCAAATAAAGGTTTCCCTCTCAATTACCATTTAGTTCGTTCTGTGCGATTTAACTCGCCAGTGATGTTGCAGGTTTCTTTATCTATCGTGTTTCATCCAAATTTAACACAAAGTTCATATAATGGATCTCCACCTGACTTTATTCGAAATTTACGATTAGATGTTATCACTCCCTCGTATTTCTACCAACCATCTCATCCGTAACGACGGTTGCATGCCTTAGGCTTCTTCGCTGCTTTTTGTGAACTCTACTGAAACCGCTTTATTCCTCATGAATATCTTTCATATTGTTGGATGGAAAGATCACCCAACTAGGGTAATTAAGTTTTTCATGGGGGATTTGGGACTAATAGACTGCTGAATAGTGTTTTCCTTTGGCAACTGCGCTGTCTGAGAAGGAGCGCATAACGAAATGTCCTCCACTGAAATCTGAAACCGAGCACTTTTCTTTTGATAACTCTTCCTTTAGTCATCCAACGCCAGAGTTTCGTAGAGATCGTATTACTTTCTTGGCGACTTTTCTTATTCTGTCGATGGATAGCATGTCGTCATTTCCATCCATGTAATTTATAATGCTCTCAACAAAAAGTATCGCCGCGTAATATTATATCATACATATGCTCGCTATGGATTGTTAGTGGCATTGTTAGTGCGACTTATTGAGCTTCAAGAAGAGATGTATAACATTGAGATCAGAAGAGAACTTGAGTGTTTTCGAAAGGCTTATTTTTTTCAATTCTAGAAGGCCCATTTGTCATCTGTACTGTGAATCGAGCCTGCCAGTTACCAGAAATGCAAGTGCATCACAATTTCAAGATGTTCCTACTAACAAACCGAATGGATGGCGTGAAAGGATTTATGGCAAGGTTGGTTTTGAAATTTTATAGCGGTCCTCTGAAGCGTTCGTCTCACAAATGAAATTCAATTTGTTATCACCGTAATCCAAACAAATAGCACAAACATATGTCGACTGTATTTGAAAAACTCTTTTCTAAAAAAATGACTTTTATTGTGATCCATTCCAACTTAACCCCTTCGAAATCTAGTCTTTTTCTCACAAAAGTCTGTGACCTCATTTTTGTGATTTTATGTGAACGGAAGAAGGCTTATGAAAAATCACCTCCTCATGGCTTACAAAGATACCACTCGTGTCCACCTTTAACAGTGGCTTCCACAAAGTTTGTTAAGGTCGTACTGTCAAATTTCGGAACGTCACATCTATCAAGTTAAGTGTGATTGAAACATGAGCTAGATGATTAAGGGAATTGTAAATAAAGGCAGTGAAGTTAACCCATGAGGGATTGATGCTGTGCTTGTATCAGATGCTTTGATCCTCGAGAGAAAAATGAGAAACTCACTGAAACTCAATTCGCTCAGATTCCTACGTCGTCGCATCATCGAGGCCGAGTTCCGCTTATCACGCCAGACACAACCGGAGTTGGTGCGAGTGATTCAGTTCCTGCCTATTGTTCTACAGGTACTGCTTCCATTCATGTTCGTGCTCACAATATGCTGTATTAGGGCGGAGGTGGTGTAGTGGCAAGTGGCGCACTATATCACACGCACGGTCAGGGGTTCGAATCCCGGATCGTTGCCCGCCTAGGCCAACCAAGCCTTCCATCCCTCCGGGGTCGGGGAATTGGTACCAGACTCGTCTGGGAGGATAAAAGNATAATATGCTGTATTAGGGCGGAGGTGGTGTAGTGGCAAGTGGCGCACTATATCACACGCACGGTCAGGGGTTCGAATCCCGGATCGATGCCCGCCTAGGCCAACCAAGCACTCCATTCCTCCGTGTCGGTGAATTGGTACCAGACTCGTCTGGGAGGATGGAAGCACTGACTTGTACATCGGCTGGCCACCGCAAGTCATTGTATAGGCCACCTACGCACTCATTACGCCACTACGATTCTGAATGGAAGTCGAGTGTAGGGGCGCATCCCTCAGACGGGATTGATTAACGCCAAAAACTTTATCCTTTATCCTTTAATATGCTGTATTAATTATAATATATTGTCACGTGTTGTAATGTTTTATAATAGTATTTTCTCAGAACCTCTCGTTCTACGCTACAATCTATAACGATAAATTGTGATATGATAAAATACAGGACAAACTCTTCTGCAGCAATAATTCCACATTGGCTCATTATTGCAGAATGATCACTATTTTTATTTTCGGTTCAAAGGATCGAAAACTTATATTTTTTATTTTTTAATTAATTAATTATTGTTGTTTTAATTGTTTTTTGTTTTATTTTTTAAAAATATTTTTCTATTTTCAATTCTCGAGTGATTGAAGACTCATCAAGCTTTTTTTATCTTTGTAGTATGTTGTCCTGAAACTCTTAGCTAAATTTGATTCTACGGATGAGCTCTCTCATGTGCATCTCTCCGGTACCTAAAACTATAAATAATGGTTGAAAGCTTCCCTAGAATGCTTTGTCTTTTGATTATCAACTTTTAAGGCTGTGAACACCTTCATTGAAAAAGCGAATTCCTTGGATGTAACGATTGGACCACGAATTTTCCTCCAGTGCCCATTAGGTGTTGAGGAATCCCGGGCGTGGTTCGTTCGACTTTGGAATCAAAACATCGTTCCGTATATGGTCAAAGTTGCTAGAGAAGGTGGGTGAAGTACAGGCCTACGAATGTACATATTTGTAAAATTCTCACTGATATGTGTATTGGGATTTACGGGTTTGTTTCAGGGGTCAAAGTACTTGGACGGTGTGGTTCGTTTGAAGACCCAACAGACATCGTTTGTGAACATTGGCCGTGGTTGGAAGGACCGTCAGGTGAAGAATGTCTCAATAGGTAAGTGTTCTTATTTCCTTTTTACAACTTTTTTTTTTAGAAAATAGAAAGAACGAACTTTGTAAAATGGTCGACTCCTAGAAAAATAATGGCATCATCCTCCATAAGCGAAATGCGAAAAGTCATGGTCATGAAGTTGTCGCCATTTGGTCAAAGTAGTAACGGCAGAGGAAGATTTTTATGAATCCGGCCATACTTGGAATGGTAAATCTCGCAACGAGTGATCGGAGCCTATTGCAGATTCGGAAGGCTTTCGGAATACATAGAAGGTTCACTGGATCTAGCTTGAACCCTTGAAGACACAGTTTATGATGAATGCGCTTTCCGAGATTTCTCCCTGGGATGGACTTATGGCTTCAAGATAGCACGTGGGACTATGTTGTGTCAGATAACCAGCTCGACAGGGCGTTGTTTTTTAGTGTTCTAAAACCTTCTTAGCTCAAGCACACACCGAAATGTGGCCGTGTTGTGATGGCCTTGCTAAGGGTGCATCATTCAAAATGAAATTTCAGGATGCCGACCATAGTACGCTTATGTGGGAGACACCCAGACGGTTACAGACACATAATGTCGTTCAACCCTCTTTCTTACTACTTTTTGAAGTTTTATAATTTTCGAAAACCGCTGGTTTTCCGCGCTTTCTTCGCATTTTTCCACTATTCTGTACAATTGCTTCCATTATATCACTTGAGCTGGATACTTTGAAATAATCGTGAACTGCACTTTTAATGCCCCTATCCTGTACGCTACGGCCTGTTCAATGACACTCCTGTTTCTTCACCATTCTTATCTAAAAAGGTATAAGTACTACCTCAATGACATCTGATCCCTGTAAGTACTTACCCATTTCAAATGGGCACTTATGCGCTACGTTTGCTTCTACTATAGGTGGACGCTGAATGCGTTCTACACTAGGAGTTAATTAATGCTGTTAATTTTTTTTGTAATTCACAGATCGTTCGCGCTGGATGTGCCCCAAAATAATGCTATTCCATTGCTCTTGACCTCCTTAGATAGCAGTTCCCCTGTCGATCTTCCGACTTGCTTTTCCTCAGCTAATGAAATAATTCTGTTGCAGGTTATCAATCAAGGAAACAATAGGCCAGTCGATGCCGAAACAGCCCTTCAACCCACTGGACACGTTGATTCGACTACAAGCAAGCCGTAATGCTGCCATCGATAATGTATAATAGCGAAAATTTATATATTCGAACAAAAATATTCTATTCGATCATTGGTTGATTCTAGTCATTTTAATTGTATTCGTCGACGAAAACGGGTTCAGGCCATCATCCCGCTCCATTTTGTTCCTTTGTTCACCCTGTTTTCTCAGCTGTGATTTCGCTTCTTTCCCTCTGCCATTTGTACTCATTGTATCGAAGTTTCTGTTCCGGTCCCTCCAAGCTCTGAACTCATATTGAAAACGTGAGTGCTTCCGGATCAGGAAGCAATTCCAGCGTTTACGGTGAGCGGTCCAAATGTTCGGAAAAGCTGTGAGTGGCTCATTTTCTGATGTCACTTCACTGTGTCAACGTCTTTTCCAAGTTGGGTGCTGCCGTTCCCTGGTCCAATTGTGCACTCCATAAAGGCCTAACTCTCTTGGGCAAAGGCCAGCATGGTTACTTTTGAAAGTAACAAATTGCTACTTTTACATTGTAGTTTTTTCTTATAAGAATTTTTTGATTGGGTACTCATATTCTTCATACTCTCATCATATGTTGTGCAGCTTGAAGTTTTTACAATAAAAAAATCAGCAAAACACGGTTGCCTACAGAGTCAAGCAGAAGCACTTGAATGAATAACGAAAAGAAAGTCGTTCAACAGGAAAGCTCCCGCGCATCCTTTTTCTTGTTGCTCGTCTAAAGGTATCGTGGAATTCTGGGTTTAGCAACGGAAATATGAGGCGGAGCTGCTGGCGGCTAGGAATCAAAGCAAACATATCGGAAAAATTCTGGTCTGCGGGTCTGAGCACTTGTAATTTTGTGACATAAAAGAACGAATGATCACTACGCATTATTATTATTATTATTCGCAACTCAGGTGTGAATCGTACCATGAAATGAAACCGTAGAACAGAAAATATCTTCTGATAACGGAAGTCAGAGGAGCGAGGGTCAACTACAAGCCACCATTCATTTTGAGTTTGTTAAAACATTCGAGCAGAAATCAGGCTCTTCACAACTGATAGTGAAGTTGTTGAAATCCAACCAGTCAGTACCAGCTTTTTCTTCTTTGCTCATCTCAGTTCTTGAATAAAGCGAATTCAAAAGCTGAGATGTGAAAAACGGAAAGGACTGCCCTTGAGACAGTAGTTTATATACTTCTTCTTACCAATTTGAGTCCGTCAGGTCACTCTGCTGAGTAGTAGAATAGCGGCCGTAATGAATGAATATACTTTAACCCCTTTTTATTACACCTTTTTGAAAATGTGGAGGAAAACATTTCATCCAATTTATTCCCTCTCACCTCTTATTTCAACCGAATTTTGCTACAGTGTCTTTTAAGACTCTTTGATTATGTAGAGGCTAATTCTCAAACAAGCATTTAAACTAAGTGATAAACTACTTCTCACTGCAGTGATTTTACGAATTGAAATAAGTTACAGGCACTACGATTTTGCATGTGCAGGAGAAACGAATCATCAGAGGTGCAGTACACAATAATTTTGAGGCGCCTAGCACAGGAACGGTGAAACTCGGCGTATTTAGAGAACAGTAAAACCTTGAAAAAGTGGTGAAATTGGGGTTGGACGAAAACGGGGCGACAAAATGACATGACGAATCATTGGGAATTAATTTGAAGAAGCTATCAAAATGTGTACGCCATTTTGGCCATTGCGGGCGTTTCAAGGCCATTACGTACGACTGCTACAGTAAGCTGCCGCGTGCAACATGTGCGTCCCGGTGCAAATGTTCCAACCTCTACACGTCTACAACGCCTTCGGGTGTTTACGTGAACCAACACAGATTTGAAGTCCTTACTGCGGCCTATTCGAGCGTTTTTTTGGCCCGAAAGCATCTCTTGGGCTACCTTGGGATCACAGATTAATTCCACTGAGGAATCTCAGGAACTATTTGTTGTGCAGTCGAAAAGCAGAAGAGGGATTTATTGAGATGAATTATAAAATAAATAATTATATAGACAGGGGACATATATACGGTCTAAAAGGATACTACAGATCAGTGGTCATACTCTGGTCCAAAATCTACACGATCACCAGGCGATGTTTATTGTTAGGTATCCACAGCTTACTGAGATCACTGAACGCTGATATGACTTACTAGATGCAAACACAGTATATAAACCCAGTAATTTATCAGTGACTACTTTTCTCTCTCATCACTTCGTCTAAGTCGGTTCGACCAACAAATCTTCCTGATATATCTGGCTATCAACCGTCTACCAGCGGCTCACAGACGTAACAGTGGTGATCAGGATTATGGCAACGATGACGGACCAGCAGTTTCAACAACTCCTGATGGCACTTACAGGCGCTCTCAAAGGACAACAGATGGCGAAACCCACTTCCCAGTAACCAGACAGAAGTTTCGACGATTCACATTCGAAGAAGCGGTCTCAACACTCATGGGCCTGTTCGAAATACAGCAATCGTTGTTCAGACGCCGTTACGCCTGCATGAAGCTGAACAAGGATCCCAACCACGACCTTGTCACCTATGCAGGACGTGTCAACCGTGAATGCGCCAAGTTCAAGATAGCGGAGTGCGACGGGAATCAATTCAAGTGTCTAATCCTTGTAAGCGGCCTACAATCCAGCTACGACGCCTTCATTCGCCTGAAATTACTAGACAAAGTCGAGACCGATCCAGCTTGTTCCGTCCAGTCTTCCCCGGAGGAATACAAGCGGCTCACCAATTTAAAGCAAGCTACGAAAATGGTAGAGAACGGGACACCTGGATCTACTAAACGGCACTCACCACTAAAAAGAAACAAAGAATCTCAGTCAACCCACATCAGAAGCGGAACCCGCTCATTGCAACCGCCTCCAGCTCCGTGTGATTCTTTGGAGAAATGCATTTCGTTCGATTCTGTGCGTATCGACGACATAAATGCTCAGACTGCCACAAAGTAGGTCACAAAGGATTCAGTGATTTAACACGACGACGATACCACGTAACGCGCACCAACCGTCAAGGCCAACCACAAGATCTAATGCCATATTCACAGTGTCAAGTGTGCAAGGCAGTTACCGGCGATATGCCACGACCATCGTGGACGGAAACCTGTACATTTTCAGGTAGATAGTCCCACGGACAATTATCAACGAGTCTATGGGCAAACCACGGCTTCAGTCTCCATCGCTCATCGCTCATAGCGCTTCAACAGATCGGATCCAGTTCATAGAACAGATTGCACTTACAACTTCAATTCGAAGTCTGCTCAAGGAACGTTTTACGTTGGCCGCACACAGCCCAATCTTCTAAGCCCGGGATGGATTTCCAAGCTGGGAATCTACGTAGCATCATGGATTCGCTCTCAAATGCCGATCCTCTACAGTCCGCCACAGTCAATGTAAGCAGCATCTGTTCAAGCACTGACCTATCGCAAAAGAGCTGCAAGAAACCTACCCAGAAGCCTTCAGTAGCAACTTCGGACTGCACAAATACTCACAAGCCACCCTTCGCCTGAAGGATGCGAATCCAGTCTTCCGCCCGAAACGACCCATGCCGTACGCAGCTATTCCGGCCTTAGAAGAGGAGTTTGATCGTGTCGAAGCAATGGATGAATGGTATGATTTCAAATGTCAATTATTCTGAATGGGCAGCACCTATAGTTATAGTACGGAAGTCTAATGAATCACTGAGAATTTGCGCCGATTTTTCAACGGGCCTAAACGATGCCCTGGACCTCTATTAGTATCCAGTACCTCTGCCCGAGGATATCTTTGCGACACTTACCGGCTAGCAATACTTTTCCCATATCGATTTTGCTGACGCATATCTTCAAACTGAAATGGATTAGCAATCGAAGCAGTTGTTAACCATAAACACCCGTCGCGGTCTACACCAATACAACAGACCACCCTTCGGCATATAATCAGTCACAGCCATTTTCCAGCAGATCATGAATACGACTTAAGCCGACCTGCCCAGAATTTTAGCGTATCTGGATGATGTCATCGTTGTGAGACGCACAGAAGAGGAGCACAGAAGGAACCTGCACGCCGCTTCCAGGAGAATCGCTGAAAGCGGTTCCATGTACGCATGGAAGAATGCCGGTTTGCAAATTTCTCAATGGACTACTTTGGAGACATCATCGACAAGCACGGACGACGCCCAGATCCAAAGAAAATTGAAGCAATCATCAAGATGACCGTCCCTCAAGACATCTCACGACTTTGTTCTTTCCTAGGTCTCGTAAGCTATAACGGTACTTCCATTAATGAGATGAGCCTGCATGCCCCTCCCGACGCTCTCTTTGCGAAGAATGCGAAATTCAAGTGGACGAAGGAATGCAATGACAGTTTCAATAGAGCAAAGAGCAATACTTCCTTCAAATCTTCTACTCGCACATTACGACCCTAGCCAGGAAATCGTAGCAGCTGCTGACGCATCGGACTATGGATTGGGGGCACTGATCTCACATCGTTACGAAGACGGATCGGAGAAGGCATTTGCACACGCCTCTCACTCACCACTGCCAGCCGAGAAGAATTACAGTCAAGTCGAAAAAGAAGCACTTGCACTTCCAAAAATTCCACAGGATGCTTCGTGGACGTAAATTTACCCCTTTAACGGACCACAAGCCTCTGCTTGCTATATTTGGATCAAGAAAGGAATCCCAGTCTACACCAAGAACAGACTACGAAGATGGAAAACGACACTTCTCGCATACGATTTTCATATCCAGTACCGCTCGACAGAAAATTTCGGTCAGGCAGATGCACTTTCACGCCTTATTACAACACACTCCGCTCCGAACACCTATTCACCAACGCACTTCAAGCATTAAGGGTTACAGCGGATGAAGTCAGAAAATGGACTGCCTAGGACCGTTATATATATATATGTATGTATGTATATATATA